TCTCTCTCTCTCTCTCTCTCTCTCTCTCTCTCTCTCTCTCTCAGTCCGCTGTCATTTCGTCTCATCCACCTTCGTGCCCGAGTTTCGCCGCGCCTCGTCAAGCACGTAGCGAAAGAATCGCATTATCGCCATCGACGTATGATGTACCTGATATTTTGTAGTTTCTCTCTCTCTCTTTCTTTATATATACATATATATATGTACATATATATATCCACCGCACACGCGTTTAATTGGCGCACATGTAATCTCCAGCCGTAGTTGTTGCAGCGCGGAACTTGCCGCGAGTGTGGGAGTCAAGACACGGGCGTGTCGGATGAGATCGCGAACTTTGCCTACCACGATCGTACGCGGCGTCGAGATCTCGCCAGATAGTGCGGGCTCGAGGAGCGAATCTAATTTGGTAATCATTCGATCTGTTGGAACACGTAATTCTGTGTACCGCTAGAAAATTCGCCCTTTCTAGCCTGTTCGATCTCGTTGCGAATTAAAAATCATTATAGGTAGTTCACGTGTCGCTGAATATTCCCATGATTATCCTGCAGTTTCCGCTTTTTACAAACGGATTACGCTCGAGGAGTTAGAAAGAATGGTCGTTACCTTCTTGACGGGTCGTTCGAATGCACCACGTTCGCGGAAAGATTTACGCGCTCTCCGGATTTGCGCGAGTCGCGATTTTACGACGTTTAAAATAAACTGGTCGCTCGTATCTCTTCTTTTTCTCTTTTCGCGCTAGATCTATCGGCACCGTTGCGAAAGGAATTACACTTCTTTTGACAATTGATTGATTTATATTTGTGCGAATCTCAAATCGGATAAAAATATACCACTGAATATACTCTGTCTAGCAAAGATTAATGTTTATTGCTGTCAATTTTTTATACTAACATCAATATATTATAGGGCTGTCTTTTTAAAAAATTTTTATCCAAATTATTTGTAGAGCTTGAAAATTCTTGTTGACATTGCGATCCTTCAAGTAGTCGTCGAGATCGTTTCGGTGGCAATTGCTTTCGCATCCCGTCAAGCGAGGTAATTATGTTAAGTGCCTCGTTCGAGCTCCCATTTTGAGGGACGGTACGACGCGCGACTCATTTCGTAACGATATGCGGAGTTTCCGTTCCCCTTTTGCATCCCGTTCTTGCGGTCCTTTTGCGATAAAATGGGTCATCCTCTCCCTCAACGAGTGTATCCACGGTTTCTTTCTCCTTTCGAATGAGGCTTATAGGAAACGTCAACAGCAATGGAAGAGATGGGAAATTCACGAGCGGAAAAAGGAATGCGCACTCGATGGAAATCTCTTTGGAAATCTACTTTCTTGCTCGTTATTGCAATATTCCTCGGGCGCACTACGATTAATGTAACATGTGTATTATGTCGGAAATGGTATGTGCGACGAACATATAATATTGTCAGAGTGAGAAAGAGAGAGGGGGGGGAGGGGATTGAATTTTATTTGAAAAGGACAGAACTTCGGAAGAGGCAAGGCTAAGGTGCAAAAAATACCGTGTCTTTCAGATTTATTTCCTGCAAACATTTTTTAGTATTCAGCTTTCTTTCATTGCAATATTTTTAATTTGTCGATTCTCCGCGAAAACGCAGAGTGGAATAATGAATACATTGATGGTACAGAGTGGAAACACTTTAATTTAATACCGTATTTTCTCATGTTGGTAAAAATAAGAAAATGCAATACTAAAAAATTCTGAAAAAATTCTCATAATTTTATGAGAAGAAAATAAACAATTTTTAGCTCTATTTTAACTCTAGCAGTTTTCCTGTAAAGCCAATAGTATTTGAGTAAAAAATTATTGAATACCAATATTTAGCGATTTTGTGTAATTAATATCTTGTTAACTATTGCGAAAATTGCAAAATGCTAAAGGACTTTTCGACTCAGTTTTTTATTAGGAATAGTACTGTATGATTAGTGTACGTTATTTTAGATACACCCTATATATACCGAGACATTACCGTATCTTCGGATATATATATAAATCTACACCGAAATATTTAAGCTTAAGATCCGTTTTGACCGAATATAAGATTTCTTTTACTTATAATTAATTAGATATATTCTCATCGGTTTAAGTTTGCATTATATTCATCTTTTTTCCTTACGTTTGTGATGTAAACGCTGACAGACGTTTGAAAGACCATATTCTCAAATTAAATCAGGTAATGTCGCTTTAAACGAAGCGCTACTGTTAATCAAAACGGAGTGTCTCTGTGGGAGATAATTATCGGACGGCGCTTTTGAGCGACGAAACCACCGGTCTTTTCCCACACGTACGTAATCCTTTCTCGGTTCTTGCCCTTTCCAAATGAGACACCGTCATCGCTCCATTTAATAGCCCCCTCGTATTCCGGCAAATTCGTCGAATGGTTCGCAACTCCAGCAGCTAGGGTGAAAAGCTGGCGACGCGTCGAAATGAAAATGGACGTAAACTCCCGAACGAGAACCATTTCGGCGTGACTTTGTGCATCTCACTCTCGCGTCTTTCCCTGCCTGTCTTCCTGTGCGCGTTCACCAAGTGTGACGTGTGCATCAACCCGCCAACGCCAAATCCGATACACCATATCCACGACCGGAAATTCAGTGCGCCCGTATTTCGTATCGCGCGAGAAAAAATTGATACTTTTCTTTCCGTCAGTCAAGACACTGTTCGCGTAAACTTCGTTCTCTATTCATTACAACATTGCTCAAAAGGAAAAACGAGAGCAATTACATTTAGAAAATGAAGGAATTAAAAGAAAAGTGATAAAGGGGATGAAAAACTAAGTAGGATCCAAGTTTTTGACTAAAGTTTATAATACAATAACAATTGTCAATTATACAAGACAACAAACGTTTCGACCTTAGGTAATGTCTGGTGTGTTAAATTACAAATTTAATATTGTGTCATATCAACCAATCTTAATGAGACCTAATAAATTCGAAAGGGATGGAATGCATGTTAATGCTCGTGTAATAAAGGAATTTTAATTTAAAGAAATTTTTTTTTGTATATAGACGAGGTTTATTTTTGAAATGTGTTTCCTTTATCGAAACAGTGACTGTATAGCGTTTTCGTTGAAGTCCTGGTTCTTAGAATTCACTTTGCACTCTCTCGTGACGATAAAGCGCGAAAATATTGTGTATACGCGGCTTTATAATGACCGCGATAATTTTGTCCCGTTTGAGTATACATAATTAGAGTAACGTCATACGTGACATAATGTGCGCTCTAACATGTAGCCGCACATGGAGCACACATAAGCTCGGTAAACTCCATCGTGGTATATTCATCAGGAAACTCGTGTCCAACAGTTTCTCATGCCAAGTTAAATTGTAGCGAAGAACCTCCGCTTGTGTTGCAACCGCATTGACCGAACGTCACATAAGCCTCGCTCACACGTCGCTCATGCTTCTTCGAGAATTTGGAAGTTCTTGTAGGATTGATGTTTGACCGAGCTACTTGGCACATACTCGTGTGGCGTTTTCGATTAGTCAATACTAGGCTCTGATCGAGCCTTTTAAATTGCAGACATTTGTGTACGACACGAAAATACAAATAAAACTATTCTTTATATAATTAAATAATTTTCGAAAGTAAGTTTACCATTAAAGTTTAAAGAAACATTTATGTAATGATTCATTAATGAATTACGTACAACTTTTAAACTATATTATCGATATGTGCAAACGATATGATCAAACGTAAAAATATAACATTATATTTTCATTATTGTGTTACAAAAATATGTACATTTTTTACATATAAAAATTACGAAATATATTATTACTATTATAACTTTCTTTGTAATATAAAGATATATTTACACAATTAGAAGTAAAAGTACTAATTTTTGTAAAACGTACAATTTTATATAATTCTACCATAA